GTGCGGGTACGTGCGTGCGTGCGTGCGTGCGTGCGTGCGTGCGTGCGTGCGTGCGTGCGTGTGCGTTGAGCTGTAGTTTGTGGCGATCGAGCGCCAGGCGGGCCGCAGACTGAGGTGACGTCTCGGCCACGGAGGACCGAGCGGTGTCTGCGCGGGCCGGGGCCTAACAGACGGGTGTCACACGCGCTGGGTCCGACAGAGGGATATGCGGCGCACTGGACTCTTGACAGTAACAGACGGTGCCCGACGCTTGCTGGGCTCTGACAGACCGGGGATGTCTGGCGCGTGCTGGTCTCTGACAGACGGGGGGCGTCCGGCGCGCGCCAGGGCCCTGACAGACGGGGGGCGTCTGGCGCGCGCCGGGGCCCTGACAGACGGGGGGCGTCCGGCGCGCGCCGGGGCCCTGACAGACGGGGGACGTCCGGCGCGCGCCAGGGGCCCTGACAGACGGGGGGCGTTGGGCGCGCGCCGGGGCCCTGACAAACGGGTGTCCGGCGCGCGCCGGGCCCTGACAAACGGCTGTCCGGCGCGTGCCGGGGCCCTGACTCCGGCGCGCGCCGGGGCCCTGATAGACGGGTGTCCGGCGCGCGCCGGGGCCCTGAAAACGGGTGTCCGGCGCGCGCCGGGCCCTGACAGACGGGCGTCCGGCGCGCGCCGGGGGCCCTGACAGACGGGCGTCCGGCGCGCGCCGGGGCCCTGATAGACGGATGTTCCGGCGCGCGCCGGTTTCCCTGACAGACGGGCGTCCGGCGCGCGCCGGGCCCCTGACAGACGGGTGTCCGCGCGCGCCGGGGCCCAGATAGACGGTGTCCGGCCCGCCGGTTAGCCGGTGTGTGGTCAGCGGACCGCGCCGGCCGGCCGCCCCACTATCGATTCATCGGCGCTGAACGTCCGACCTGTTTTGATCATTTGCGGAGGTCCACAGGCCCGTTTCGGTTGTAGTAAGGGCTGCGGGAGTTGGACCTGTATAATTACGGTCGGAAATGCCCAGCTATTTTCCGTACGCCCCTGGTAGAGTACTGTTAGCTGGCGATTTGATAACCGTAGGGCGTGTCGAGGGAACCTGGGTGGTGGCTCGACATTTGCGGTATGTGGGCGCGAATGCGACATTTTTGCCTAATGAGTGGAATCTTTTAATGACGCTTATTGTCCTTCCTAGCTGTAAATTTCCACTGTGGCACACACACACACATTGCTGCACATTCTGAAGGTGTTTGTAATGCCTCCCTTGCCACCGAAATACCGGTGACGCGGTCTCAGCGGCGTGGTGCCCGAAGGTGGGTGTGGCAGGATTGACAGACGCCCGCCCGACGCCGGGGATGGTGGAGGAGCGCGAGGGTCAGGGCCGACAGGGCTGGCAGACGCGCCCTTTCTATGTAGGAGAATGGGTGCCAAATGACCACTGCAGTCGGTGCGCCCAAAAACACCAATAAACAACAATCAATTCATGAAGACTCAACGTAACCATTTGCATTTGCTCTTTGTGAGCGGTGGAGAGAGGGAGAGAAAGAGGGGACACCTCAGGCAGGCCTGCAATCAAGCCTCGTCTCGTCTCTTCGCCAAGCCGGCGGGGCGTCGTCGCCGGCCTCCGTGTCCCAGTACGCGTGTGCGCGCGCTGCTGCTGGCCGGCCGGCGCGGCGCCTGGTGCAGCTGGGTTCAGCTGGGCGGGCAGCAGCCACCTGCAGTGTCTGGGCGGCGACACAGGTGTGCACGCGCCTGAGTCACGGCCACCGGGCGGGCCGGCCGCGCCGGAACGGGCGCCACCAGCGCTCCGGGCGCACCGCTGACGGAGTGGCGTGGCCGCGTCGCGCGCTCTCCTCTTCCAAGGCATCCACGGGCGTGGGTGTGCAGGTTCCGACTGCGGGGACGAAGGACGTCTATACGCGCCGCTCCGGGGAAGGCCGAGCCGCCTGGTGACGGCCGGCGCGGGATGGCGGCCGCCTCGGTGGCGCCGACGTGCCCCGGCCGGGGCCGACCGTCGCAGCTCGGGGCACTCCGGCGGCTCACTCGGCAGCCAGCGGGCGCGGGCGCGGTCACCAGCCGGCCGGCGGCCTGCCGCGCCGCCCCAGGCCGCGTGTGGCGCTGTCTCGCCGCCGCTCGTGACAGGCCGGCGGCACGGGCAGGGCCGCGGCTCCAGCGCCGGCACTGCCGCTGGCTCTGTCGGTCCGTCGGAGCCGACGTCTGACGGTGCTGCGAGCGCGGGCCGGTGTTGGGCTGTCGAAGTGAAAGCCGGCTCCACGGAGCACATTGCTGCCATTCACAGTCGTCGCGAACGCGACTTCATGCGCTTAGGTCTAGAGGGACAAGAAAACTGTTCCGAGGAAACTACGCGTGGTTCCTGCTGTTTGTGGTGTTGAAGTGAGCTTCTGAGAACCATCAGCCTCACATCGTGGAGGTGGGAAGGGGTGGGGGGGGGGGGGGGGACCATTTGCGGGCGAGAAGCCATGCCGCTGCCGGTCCTCGCGGCGATATCCTGAGCCGACGCGCGGCCAATGGCGGCACCCGCTGGCTGTGACGTCACCAGCGTGCAGCGCCGTCGTCGCGCCGGTGCGTTGCTTGGCCGCCCGCCGTCCTTGCACGCGCCCCGCGCCGGGCGCCGCCGGACGGGCCGGGCACGCGCCGCCCGCCGGCCGCCGGTTGAATGGTGGGCTTTGAATGACCGGTGACAGCGGCCAGACGAAGGGAGGTGGTGGCCGTCAGTGTCGCCGCCGTTTGGTTGTCCCTGTCAGGTGGTGCGCGCCAACGCCGACGGTGGCCGTCACGCCACGGCTGGGGCAGAGCCAGCTGCGTCCGTGCCTCAGCTGTAATGCTGGCGTGTCAATACCAAGTGTGTTCGTCGTCAAAGCACGGCTGCGCGTTGTGCCGGCTTCCCTAGTTCTTGCTCGTCGTCGGCTCGGTTCAGTGACCGTACGGCGGGCAACGCTCTGTGCGTCGCAGGACGGCGGCTGTCTGCTGGCGAGAGGGGAGGGGGGGAGGGGCTGCCCGCGGTGTGGCGCAGGTCGCAGCTCCGGCGGAGCCAGCGGCCGGCGCTGGACCGTCGGCCGGTTCGCGCGACGGGTGGCTCCAATACGTGGCCGCGGGAGTGAGCCCAGAGCACCCGCCGCGTCGTGCCGTGACCTATTTGAAGGAGGGCGGTATCGTCGCCGCCGGTATCGACAACACGCCTGCCGCGGTGCGCTGATGGAGGTGCTGCGGGGCTGTCTGCTGGCGAGAGGGGGAGGGGAGGGGGCGGCGGTGCAGTGCGGCTCCCCGCTGGCCGTGCCGGGCCGGCGGGCCGGCCGCCATCGACGTCCGCGGGAGTCTGCCGCCCTGACGACCGGCTGTCACGCCGCCAGTGACGGCCTGCTCCAGCCCGCACTGAGCTGAGCTGAGCGGAGCTGAGCTGAGCTGAGCTGAGCTGAGCTGAGCTGAGCTGAGCTGAGCTGAGCTGAGCTGAGCTGAGCCGAGCCGAGCCGAGCCGAGCCGAGCCGAGCCGAGCTTGAGCTGGGAAAGCAGCAGGCGGTGAAGGAGGCACTCTGCGGTGTGTACGGTCGGAGGTCGCTTGCCCATAATGACGTGATGTAAGTGCCTGGAACATCCAGCCGCTGCAAATTCAAACGCAACTAAAATGACAAGAGTGCTGGTGCACGTTGACATATTTGTCGAGGCGTGCGACCGCTAAGGTAACTATATGAGTGTCACCACACGCCGTTGGATATCCGGCGCCGGCCCATCTCAGGCGGCCGCGACTCTGGTCAGCCACGGCCCGCCCGTATTGGTCGGGGACGCCAGAGTCTGGGGGCTGCGATGTGGGCGGGCCAGTCGCGTGCGAGAGGAGCCGACGTGGCTGCGAGCACGACTGGGCGCGGACAACGGCAGGCAGTGCGCTGGAACTGTGAGCCGTGCTCACCGGCGGGGTTTGCCCAGTGAGCCGGGGCGGAGGTCCACGGCGTGCGTGGTCCCGTCCGAGCAGGCTGCCGGAGGGGACTCGGCCCGCCCGGAGGCGGCTCTGACCATCCGGTAGCCACTGGGGCGACGCCACGTCAGTCACCCTTCTGGTCTGGGCCCGGACGGGGTCCGAGAGACGGGCTTACGCGGCGGTCCCGGACTGGAGCGTGACCTCCTCCGCTGCTGTAAGCATGACCTCCCCCACTGCTCCAGCCGACCGTTCGGACGGCGGCGGCGCTCGTCTGCCCCCCCCCCCCCCGTCGTCGACAGAGCCGACCTCACCCGGCACCCGCCACCCACACATTCGATCTCCGCCGCGCTGCTAAGCCCCGCGCACCGGTCGCCGGCTGATGGGACGCCGGCTGCACGGGGACGCTCCGTCAGCGGGCGGCATGCCGCGGACATCGCGTCAGCTGGTGACGGGCGGGCAGCACATGCCGCTCGTCCGCGACCCGGTCCCTCCGGCGGCGGCCGGACCGGACCGTGCCGCGGGCTCGGTGCTGGACCGCGGTGAGGAGTCCCCGGCGCCTCCTCTCGGCCGACGACGGCGCCCGTTGACGGCACCGTCCGAGCAGGCGCTGAGTACGGCTGGTCACGGCGGCGCCGCTGAGCCGCCGCAGAGCTGGCGGCGCGGTATCGATCGGAGCACGGCCACGGCGCCTCGGCCGCCTCCATTCGGTATTGACGGGCGCAGGGCGGGCCGTCGCTGTTCGGTGACATGAGACGGAGTGTTTGGCCGCGGCGAGGCGCGAGCGCGTCACTAGCCCGCCGCCGAGCGACGCCCCTCCCCGCCCCGCCCGCCCCGCCCCCGCCCCATGTGTGCAGCGCAAACCGGCCGCAGGCTAACAAACGGCGGGCCTGTGAGCCGGAAAGTGACACGAGCATGCCACTAGGTCAAGCACAACCACAGAATCGCAGGATGACTGGATCGACAATGGGCCGCGCAAAGTGGTCTCAACGAGCCTTGTATGACCCATCAGACCCAGCAGTGTCAGTGTTGAAGACAGGCGCTGCGAGGCAGCAGCACCGGCGAGCGCTGCTGGCCGTCGCTGACTCTGTGCGCTCTGTTGCAGACGGTACAAGTTTCATCGGAAGGACCACCTGGCCCCACGCGAGGAGCCGTGGCCGGGGGTGACCATCCTGAAGCCGCTGATCGGACTCGACTCGCACCTAGCTTCCAACCTCGAGTCTTTCTTCACCATGAACTACCCGACGGTGAGGGCTCACGGCTGGCGGCCCGCAGTGCCTCGCCCTGCGTTCGCACGCTCCCCGTACGTAGGCCTGTCAAGAAGACCGGCCCACGCGCGAGGAGTGTGCCTGGGCCGGAGTTCCATATGATGCGGACAGCCGAACCGGGGTCGCTGACCTCCGACCTTGCCCCTTTTGATCGGCTGTCGGATCTGTAGACTTTGCCGATCTTCCTCTGGGTGGGCTTCATCCTTCCAGTGGCAGCGCTGTCTAGCCTGATCAGCTCTGGGGTACGAAATAACCCGTTTCTGGCGCTCAATTCGCGCCCCGCCGTGCCCCGTGTCGCGCCCCGTGTATGGAAGCGTGCTGTGTGCTGTTTTGATTTTGCCGCTAACGTGTGCTGTGCGAAATGCGACACCAAGTGAAGCAATATTTGCTGTCGTTTGTAAAATGTATATATATATATATATATATATATATATATATATATATATATATATATGTATGACGGATAATTTTATTTTTATGGATGGGAGCTATACTGAAGTGAAAATATTTGTATTACTAAGGTCGTGGATCCGGTTTCATACGGCTGCTGCCAGTCAGAAGCCTTCAGACATAAAGAAGTATGAGCATGGGTACAATGTTTCGCGTCTTGCACCGTCCTTCAGTCTAGGTTCAGAAGCATTTTGCTGAGTAGATTTATCAGACCTGACATCAACTAGGTACCATCTCTTGATCAAACAATGCGCAGGTAAAGAGCTAAACCCCTGCTGACTTCTGTGAGATTAAACCTCGCCATTTGCAATAGCGATAGGATCATGGGATCATTTGGATTCCGAGATCTACCTCAGGAATCTCCTTTGCAAAGCCTGATGCAAGAAGCGGCTCCCACATGATCCGGCGGGATTTGGTCCGATTCCGTGGTTGGACTGGTCCGACGCGGAGAGAAGAGAGAGAGATAGAGAGAGAGAGAAGAGAGAGAGAGAGAGAGAAGAGAGAAGAGAGGAGAGAGAAGAGAGAGAGAGAGAGAGAGGAGAGAGAGAGAGAGAGAGAGAGAGAGAGAAGAGAAGAGAGAGGAGAGAGAGGAGAGATAGAGAGAGCGATAGAGAGAGAGAAAGAGAAGAGAGAGAGAGAGAGAGAAGAGAGAGAGAGCGAGCGAGAAGAGAGAGAGAGAGAGAGAGAGAAGAGAGAGAGAGAGAGAGAAGAGAAGAGAGAGAGAGGAGAGAAGAGAAGATAGAGGAGACGCGAATCGTAGAGAGAAGAGAAGATGCTCGAGAGAGAGAGAGAGAGAGAGGAGCCGGAAGAAGTAGAGAGCCCTCTCTTCTCAGCTCTCTTCTCTCTCTCTCTCTCTCTCGAAGCGGGGTGGGTGGTTTGCGGGACACTGCCTTCTTTTCCCAGCCTCTCCGCTGTCGTACCTGTCCACTCTGCGACGCAAGCCCCGCGGTTCGGGGCGCCCACCCGTTGCAGATCAACGCTGCCGAGCGCGCTGCCCGGCGGGGTGCGGCGTGACTTTCAGCTTTGCAAAGGTCGGCAGCGAGCGTCGCCGCACCGAAGACCCCCTGACATTTGACGGCACGTCGGCGACAGATGGCCTGACGCCGCGCCTGTTCGGCCGATCGGAGACGCAGACGGCCCCCCGGCGCTCGATCCGACCGATGACGAGTCGGCCTCGCTCTCCGGCGGCCTGCCGGGCGGCGCTGCTGGAGGGCACGTCCGCACAGGAGCCCGCCAGTCGGCGCTGAATAAATGCCATCATTGGAGACATAGGTGTAACCACTGGGTGGGGGAGGTGAGGCGGCGAATATGCCTCGTCAATTTTCGCTACGTGAGGATTTGGTCCTTCCGAAGTTTCCAACAGAATGCGCGTTTTTCACGTTTCCTGTCTGGGCTGGAACAACATGAAAAATACACATTCTGTTGGAAAATTTGAAGGACCTAGTCAATTTCAGGTCAAACTGCCGTCACCAGATTTCGATTTCTCCCCGTGATCTTTGAAAGCGTGGTCACACCCATGAGTGGAGCCAATTTTTCAGTAGATGTGAAGCGTTTTCGAACATAAGTTTTGTTATTCGTAAATGTCTGCAAGCTACATATAATGTCACTGTTCGCTCAGTTTGAATTGCGGTCATATGACAGTGGACGGTCGGGAACGAGCGGGAACGTGTCTCGCATTCCCGCTGCTGTAGCTCAGCTCTGGACACCGCTCTGCGGGTCGCCATCCAGTAGAACATCCCACGCGGGTGACATTGGGGGCGACCGCTGCAGAAGCCGCCTCGGGCTCTGGCTGGTCGTGAATCCGCGCGGGGCGTGCCCACCGGGGCCACCGAGCGGCGATCGAGAGCCGGCGCCGGCAGCATTGAGAGGCGGCTCCGGTAGCGCGTCGACGCTGTAAATACACCGTGACCGCCGGCGGTGAAGCGATGGCCCGGGTAAACACGGCTGACGGACGGCGTTTGGCGGCCGGCGGCACCGCTGAAGCCCGTGCGGGGCGGGGCTGAGACGGGCCCAGCAGTGGGACAGAAACGATTTCAGGAGCGAAGCAGACAAGGTCAAGAGCGGGGCCGAGACAAGGTGGCCGAGACGGGTCCAGCAGTGGGGCGGAGACGATTCCAGGAGCGAGGCAGGCAAGGTCAAAAGCGGGGCCGAGACAAGGTGGCCGAGACGGGTCCAGCAGTGGGTCAGAGACGATTCCAGGGGCGAGGCGCAGACGTGTTCAGGAACAGGGCGGAGCGGAGGCGGGTTCTGAAGCCGGGCGTTCACCGATGCTGGTGTGAGAAAATTGAAGCGGGTCGGAATCAGGCAGAAGCTGCTCCTGAAACCAGGCTGATTGGTATTCTAGAGCAGTTTTGAGCATTCCCACTAAATGAGCCTTTCTGCTGCGTTATGTTTACCTCTGGTACAAATATTTGCTCCTGTTAATGTAAGGGCACCCGTGGAATCTGCGCCTGCGCCTTTTGATGTTCGTTGCGACCTGGATGACACAGATTGCACCTGGCGTCACGTAGAAAAGAAGATGCCTGGTGCGCGGGAAGTACGTATTTATCCGCGATATCTTGGGATGAACTGGACTTAATGAAGGCGAACGAAATTCGGAAGGTTATCTGTTAAACGTCGTGCAGTGGGTTCGGTACACGGAGTCATGTCGTTGCCGTATGACTCGTCGTATGACTCGTTCGGTACACGGAGTCATGTCGTTGCCGTATGACTCGTCGTATGACTCGTTCGGTACACGGAGTCATGTCGTTGCCGTATGACTCGTCGCGGTCGGTCTGTGGCTAGCCCGGTCCCGGCGCCGTAATGGTTCCGTATCTGGGCTATGCGGCAGGACTGCTGTTTGCGCTGCGTGTTTGGTTTGTCCGTTGACGCCGCTGTTATTGTCGTCGCCTGGCTCGGCGGCCGCTATTGGTGGCCGCGGCACCCCGGTGGGCCCGCGCACCAGCTGCGGCGCGGTCAAAGACAGCGAACGGCCGGCGCCAGCCCAGTCCTGGTGGACGGGTGTGCGTCCACCAGAGCTGGAGCGCCGCGGCGTGCGCTGAGCTGGTGTGCTGACGGCGGGACTGTGGACCGGTCCGAGCCGGTCTCGTCTGACGGCTGGACTGTGGACCGGCCCTGTCTGACTGCTGGACTGTGGACCGGTCCCGTCTGACGGCTGAACTGTGGACCGGCCCCGTCTGACTGCTGGACTGTGGACCGGTCCCGTCTGACAGCTGGATTGTGGACTGGTCCGGCCCGGTCCCATCTGACAGGTGGACTGTGGACCGATCCTGTCTGACGGCTGGACTGTGGACAGTCCCATCTGGCGGCTGTACTGTGGACCGGTCCCGTCTGACGGCTGGATTGTGGACCGGTCCCGTCTGACGGCTGTACTGTGGACCGATCCCGTCTGACGGCTGTGCTGTGGATCGGTCCCGTCTGACGGTTGGACTGTGGACCGGTCCCATCTGACGGCTGTACTGTGGACCGGTCCCGTCTGACTGCTGGACTGAGGACCGGTCCCGTCTGACGGCTGGTGGCTGCCGGACGGCTAACGTGGGGGTGCCTGTCGCCGCGTCGGGGGCGCCTGACGCCGTACCCTGCGCTGTCTGCGGCGACGCAGTGCGCAGACACCACCCGGTCAGCAAGGCTTGGATGACACTCATTTTGCGCGCGGGTGCATTCACTTTGCCTCCAGCATTACCTGGCATCATGGATGGTGGGGACATGCCAATCAATTCTGGTGAAATTGCGTACTATGTGAAGCGACCAGTTTTTGTCGGATTACATGTCCCTATGTTAAACGTGTCTCAGGCCATGTACTAGCGCACTGATATTCACTATGTCTTTCTCTGTTTCAGTATGAGATAATGTTCTGCATACAAAATGTCAACGATCCTGTCATACCACTAGTCAACGAGTTAGTCGCCAAATATCCCAACATAGAAACCAAAGTGTTTATAGGTGAGTGGACGGGATGTTCCGGGCATTGCACGGCCTGCCGCTGTTGTATCACGTGATCCGACCAGACTTCCAGCTGAAGCCGAGCGCGAAGCGCCCCACCGCAGGGCAGTATCGCCGGGGTGCGGCCGCGGCCGGGTCATTGCATTTCGCTGATGGGTGGAGCCGTCATTAGGCGGCGGCGGGGGCACCAGCGTCGGCCGGAGGCACGGCCGCCGTCGGACGGGGTCGGGCAGGTGCCGACCGCTCCGGCGGCGCCAGGGTCGATGCGCGGCGCTGGCCGCCGCCGCCGCCGCCGCCGCCGTCTTCGTCGTCGTCGTGCCCATGTCTCCCCGCGCCGGCGCCGGCGGCGGCTGGCGCGCTGCCAGCGGGGCGACCCTGGCGGGAGGCGGCTCCAATCGGACTCTCTCTCCCCGCGGGCGATTGGCCCCGCGGCCGTCGGACCGGACGACGAACGGCGCGGGGCGGGTCGAGCGGGCGGGTCCTGCCGCGTCTGGGTCCTGCTGGGGCCGGCGTGCCGCGGCGTCGGGCCCGGCCGGAGGAGACGGCCGGGGCTGGAGCAGGTCTCTCTGCCGGCGAGCGGCGCACGTCTCCCCATGTACTCCGCGCGTCGTTGGCCGGCAGAGCTCTCGTCTCCAATCGATGTGCGTTGCTCACAGTCGCTGAGTATTATACGACGCATCCAGCACTCATCTCACCACAGATTTTCCCGTTTACCGCCCCGTGGTTGTCCCATGCCAACCGGGAAGCGTGCACCGGACCCGGGGTGTGGCGGGCTGCGGCCGTCTGCCGGGTTAGCACTCCGATGTCTTCCGTCACCGGGCCGCCTGGCAGCGCCGCTGAACGCCGTGCGTCTGGGCTGGGGCGGAGAGCGCAGCGACCGACGGCCGCCGCTTGTCGCCGCTGACGGCGGGTCAGGCAGAGCCCCTCCCTCTCCCCTCCCAGCCAATGTAGTAATGGGCGTGGCGTGGCTGGGCCGCCGGCGCCCGGGGCGCACCGACGGGGCGGGCCGCCGCGCACGCGAGCGGGGTCGGTCGGCAGCGCTGCCGGCGCTCGGCTAGCCGACCCGGCAACGCTCCAGGGCGGGGGAGGGGGGCGTGCTGTCAGTCTGTCCCAACGACACGCGCGCGTTTGAACGTCTGCTGTCGGTGGGTGAAGTGTGCTCTGTCAAGGTGTGTCAGGTGTGCTTCTCGACGGAGGCCCCCCACCCTACCCCCATCCAGCTGGCGAAGCCGGGGGAGGGGTGCGGAGCCGGCTGGCGCGCGTCTACGGCGAGGCGCCGACCTCTGCGGCTGAGCAGGCAGGAGTCCGAGAGAGACCTGGCGGCCGGCGCCGGTCCGACCGTCGTGGCCGGCCGGCGGCGGCTGAGACAGACGCGCCGGAAGCGTCGCTCGTCCGTCACGTCTGCCGGCGGCGGCCGCGGCCGAGCATTGATCGGCGACGGCGGCGCCGCTCTGGTCCGGCCGGCTCGCGCTCGGCCCCCGCCTGCCCCGCCGCCAGACTGTCCGCGGACCTCGCCCCCAGACTGTCGGCTGGCCCCCGCCGCCAGACTGTCCGCTGGCCCCCGCTGCCAGACTGTCCGCTGGCTCCGCCGCCAGACTGTCCGCCGACCACGCCGCCAGACTGTCCGCGGGCCCCGCCGCCGGACTCCGCTGTCCCCCGCCGGCGGACTGGTTTTGTGTGGACGGCGTGGCGTGTGTGTCAGCCGGGCTAGCAACCAAATATGCCGTGCCGTGCGACGCTAACCAAGCGCTCGCATCGGACGTCCATCCGCGGGGTGGCTGCCGCCGGCTGCCGTGTATTCCCGGCCCGCTCATGCGCTGTGTAATTAGCAGACGGACGGTCGCCGACGGCGTCATCAGCTGCTATTCATAGCGGCCGTCGGGGTCCGACTGGCTTGTGTTGTGACCACGCCGCGCCTGGTGACCGGGCAAACACGACCGGAGGTCATGGCACCCGTGCCGGCGGAGCTTGACAGCAGCGTGCTCACTGAGCCCCGCCCCCCTGTTACAGGAGGCAAGAAGGTGGGCACCAACCCGAAAATCAATAACCTGCAGCCGGGTTACGAGGCGGCCCAGTACGATCTCATCGTGGTGTCCGACAGCTGTATCCGCAGTGAGTGTGGGCCCGTGGCGGCCGCGGCCAGGCGGTGAGGTGGGACGGACCGGACGAGCCGCCGCCGCCGCCGCCATCGCCGTCGCCGTCGCCGTCGCCGTCGCCGTCGCCGCCCTTCCCCGGAATACTTGAGACGTCTGCCGCGCTGCGTGGCCTTAACTTGTGGCGCACTAACCTCGGTTACTCGCATGCTTCCTGGGCACGAATGTCATGTGTCTTGAATATTTAACTCATGTTTCGAGAAGCCGTCAGAAGGGCTTGATTTGTTCTGCTCGCAAGTTGGCCAATCTCCGTCAGCCGTCAGCTAGCCTTGATGCATTTGCGACAGTTCGTTGGCGCCGCAGCGTCATGGGTGGTTGGGGAAATCATGGGCCGCCAGGACGCCGCCGTCGCTGGGGAGTGGGAGAGGGAGGGGAGGCTATGCGTCGACGGCGGCGCGCACCGCTGACCTTGCCGCCGCCCGCCGCCCACAGTGAAGGAGGACACGCTCATGGACATGGTGCACAACATGACGGCGCGTGTGGGCCTGGTGCATCAGATGCCGTTCACCTGCGACCGCACCGGCTTCGTGTCGGTCCTGGAGAAGGTGCGCAGGCTCGTCCGACTCGCCTCCGTTGTGACGTCACCTTCGCCGAGGGGTTCTGCGCTGCACCGGCGCTCTGGTGGCGACTAGTCATGTGGGGTTATGCGAGAAGTGTTTGCGCTCTCGACAGTGACGCCTGATGCGTGACGAGCACGGTGCGTAATCCGTGACAGAAGCCGGTGGCATCGTCGGGGAGCCGCCGGTCGCGTCCAGCCGCCTCTGACACGCTGCCGTCGCCAGGTGTACTTCGGCACGTGCCACGCGCGCATCTACATGTCCGCCGGCTTTCTGGGCATCAACTGCGCCACGGGCATGTCGGCGCTGATGCGGAAGGGCCCGCTGGACGAGGCGGGCGGCCTGCGCGCCTTCGGCTGCTACCTGGCCGAAGACTTCTTCTTCGCGCAGACGTTCCAGCAGCGTGGCTACCGGCTGGCGATCGCCTCGTCGCCGGCCTGCCAGAGCGCCGACACGCGCGAGATCGCCGGCTTCCAAAGGCGCCTCACCAGGTACGGGGGCTGGGGGGGGGGGGGGGGCGGCCGCTCCCGATCGCGGCAGATGGCGCTGCCTGATTCACGGCACGCGCTGCGCGGTGGCGCCCGGTGCAGAGGTGTCGCCGGACACGACAGAGGGGGAGAGGGCCTTACCTGATGTGGCGGGCTCGGACAGAGTAGAGGCGGCAGAAGCAGACCACTGCAGATGGCGGTCTGCACAGACGTTTTTGGCCCACCACGCTCTGGCATATTGTGAATTTTATTGCAAGCAAGTGAACATCAGCAAACGACGTGGCGTAAATTCCATCAGAGTATGTCCTCGCATCGTCGAAAATCAAATGCAACGCTTCCGCATTCCGCGCTGTGGACACAGATCCCTGGCTTAGCCTATGTCAACTCCTGACTGGGGTGCATATATCTGACTTGATCAAAGGCTGCAAGTGCTGCAAGGCAGCGGCGAGCCGCCTGTTTGTTTTGCCAGCCGTTCAAGCTTGCTGGCGTTGCTGGGTTTGCGCCGCGGACGCGCCGCTTCACCGGTAGTGCGGCCGCTGCCAGCCGAGCTGTGCTGGCAGGACTCCGAGAGGGCCAGCCGCGCACGGGCTGCCGCTCGGTGTTTACTGTCTGCGCCCGGCCCGTGGGGCGGCCGAGACAGAATTAAACGCCCTGCCGGCCACCGGCGGCGGCGACGGCGGTGGTGGCGGGCCGCCAGACACTGTCGATTGAGGCGGACCTACCAGCAGCCAGCCCAGCCTCGTATGGGCGGGGCGGCCGCGTCAGTGGAGAGGGAGGGGAGGGGACGCTCCGGCGGGCGCTGTGCGCGGCGGAGGCCGTGTCTGACCTGGGTCACCAGTCTGGTGCTGTGCGTGGGTCTGGTGAAGCGGCCGGCAGACGCCGCTATGGACAGTTTGTTTATGGTGAGGTGAGTGACCGGGTCAGAGTTTCCGTCTCTGACACACGTGTCACACGCCTTTTCTTATGTTTCTTAGTGCGGGCATCGGACCATGTGTGGCTGTAGGTCGCTCCGACTCGAGGGCATCGGGCCACGTGTGGCTGCATGTTGCTCCGTCCGAGGGCATCGGACCACGTGTGGCTGTAGGTCGCTCCGACCCGAGGGCATCGGACCACGTGTGGCTGTAGGTCGCTCCGACCCGAGGGCATCGGACCATGTGTGGCTGTAGGTCGCTCCGACTCGAGGGCATCGGGCCACGTGTGGCTGTATGTCGCTCCGACCCGAGGGCATCGGAGCCACGTGTGGCTGCAGGTCGCTCCGACCCGAGGGCATCGGACCACGTGTGGCTGCAGGTCGCTCCGACCCGACCGGAACCCAGCCTATCGTTTGTCGCGCTGGTGACATTCTCACCCCCCAGCACGTCTCCTGGAGCCTCTGAGGCCCTCACCCCAGTCGTCATCACCGCCTCTGTGCCTCGCGCTCTCGCAGGTGCCCGACGGCCAGAGACGCGGCCGTCGCCGCCAGGCTCTCGCGTGGTGACGCCCCCTCCCCGCTTCCGCAGATGGGCGAAACTGCGCATCGCTATGGTGCCGTTAACGAGCGTGATGGAGCCGGTGACGGAGTGCCTGCTGCTGGGCGCTCTGGGTGCGCTGGCCGCCCGCTGTCTCCTGCAGGTGGATATCATCGTCTTCTACCTGCTGCACATCCTCTTCTGGTTCCTTCTGGACTGGCTGATGCTCAGCATTGTGCAGGTGAGCTGCTGCTGAAGACCAGCGGCGGACCAGGACAGACCGGTGACCCCTGGACCGGACCCCAGGACCTGTGTTGGGTGGGCTCACACCGGATCACGGCAGATCGGGTTAGAGATCGGGCCAAACCGTACCGCACCGCACCGCACCGCACCGCACCGCACCGCACCAGATCAGACGAGACCAGAGCGTACCGGGCCGCAGCGGGGCCCGGTACAGAGCCTGGCTGCCGCCGAGGCGGGTACTTTCGCTGTCAGCTGACTTCCAGGAAGTTTGAGGGCCCCGTGAGTTTGTTCCGACGACGCGTCACTGTGTGGATTGCAGAGCAGATGGGACGGATGGGATGGAGGGGACGGTCGAAACTGCTGCCCTTAGAGGGAGGGGCGGTCGAAACTGCTGCCCTTAGAGCGAGGGAACGGTCAGCACCACTGCCTTCAGAGCGAGGGAACTGTCAACACTGCTGCCCTTAGAGGGAGGGGACGGTCGAAATTGCTGCCCTCAGAGGGAGGGAACGGTCAAAACCGCTGCCTTCAGAGGGAGGGAACTGTCAATACTGCTGCCCTTAGAGGGAGTGGACGGTCAAAACGGCCGCCTTCAGAGGGAGGGAGCGGTCAACACCGCTGCCTTCAGAGGGAGGGACGGTCGAAACTGCTGCCCTCAGAGGGAGGGAACGGTCAACACCGCTGCCTTTAGAGGGAGCGACGATCGAAACTGCTGCCCTTAGAGGGAGGGAACGGTCGAAACTGCTGCCCTCAGAGGGAGGGAACGGTCAACACCGCTGCCTTCAGAGGGAAGGAACGATCAACACTGCTGCCCCTAGAGGGAGGGAACGGTCGAAACTGCAGCCCTTAGAGGGAGGGAACGGTTAACACCGCTGCCTTCAGAGCGAGGGGAGTCGAAATCGCTGCCCTTAGAAGGAGGAAACAGTCAGCATCGCTGTCTTCAGAGGGGGAGGAAACGGTCAACACCGCTGCCTTCAGAGGGAGGGGGACAGTCGAAACCGCTGGCCTCAGAGGGAACGAACAATCGGCTCTGACGTCTTCAGAGGGAGGGAACGGTCGACACCGCTGCCCTCAGGGGTAGAGGACACGATACATGACGCATGAGACTGCATGACACCGCTGTCTTCAGGGAGGGGACGGTCTACACCGCTGCCCTCGGGGGAAGGGAAGTCGGAGTCATGCGAACCTCGCCCATCTGTTTTTAGCCGTCTGCTATTAGCTGGATGGAATTGCCGGGCGCTGACGAGTTTTTTTTTTGTTGGGGCGAAGTGTCTAATGCTGCATCCCTGCCTGTTTCAGAATGGGTCGTTGTCGTTCAACAAGTTTGAGTTTGTGGTGGCTTGGTTGCTACGAGAGACGTACGCGCCCATCCTGTTTCTGCGTGCGCTCTGGGACCCAGTAATTCAGTGGCGTTACGGCGTATTCAAACTCCGATGGGGTGGCGTGGTGGAAGAAATATCGCCGCCAGTGCCACCTGCCGACGAGACGGTCAAAGTGAAGTTATAACCCCGGACGGGCGGTGACGCCGGTCCTGCGTATACTCAGCTGTTGGCGCTGCAGCGCCCCGTGATACGGACGTGTCTAGTCAGCCCACGGAGGGTGGTCGAGAGACGCATGCGAGCTCCGCTGCTACCGGCGCGCCGGCCCGCCGCTGCCGCCCGCCGCCCGCCGTCGAGCGCCCGCCGCCCCGGCCGAGTGCGTTCTAGGACTCGTGCTCGGCCGACGCCCGCGTCTGCGGTGGCGACGGCGCGGCCCGCCGGCGCCGCGGCGGCGACGGCCAGCCGGCCGCGCCGGCTCCGCCGTGTGCGCGCCCTGTCGTGTCGTGTGGTGTCGGGTGCAGTGTGGGGCCGGCGCCCCGGCCGTTGAAGGGGCGCCCCGCGCGGTCTTCGCCGGCCCGACCGCTCCACGCTGCCATCAGTATTAGCTCCGGGTTGTGGGTACGGCGCCAGGCCGGGGTCGTTTGCACAAACCGAGTCGATGCTTTCCGTGATGCCTTGGCGTGAATCTGTGATCGTGTGGCTCTAAACATTTAATTGGCGTGCGGCGTTTTGATTTGCTTCGCGCCTTCGGGCATTGTTGCGCGTTGGCAACAATTGTGGCAACAAGGCAGCAGGTCGCGGTCCGAGCGGGCTTCTGTGCATAACACTTCAGTTCTTACGCGTCTGTCCCCAGTGCGGGCTGCGGTGCACTCCGTGAACAGTGCGTGTCTTCTTCGGCGAAAATGGCATTGATGGTAATGGCAATTGGTAAGATGGCATTCTGCCGGCTTCAAACGTGGCCGTTCTCGTGTGTGGGAGTCCGATTGTTTCAACGAATGACAGGCCGCGGCTATCCCGCGCGCCGCTTGACGTTTGTGACAATCCGCCGCGAGGCCGCGCGCTGGTCCCGTCTGGCCTCGCGAGCACTCCGCGCCGGTCCGGGCCGCCCGTCGCCCGTCACGACTGGCGGGACGACGGTGCCCTGCGTCCCAGCCTCCTTCCCGACCGACCCTGCCCCTTCGGTAGCGTCGCCTGCTCGCCGCCGGTCGGCTCCGGCGCTGGCCGCCCGCATTCCGCATCGTGTCCGCTCAGTCGTCTCCGCGGGCCCCTCTACAGGCGAGGGCTCCAGCCTCAGTCGTCTCCCCGGGCCCCTCTACAGGCGAGGCTCCAGCCTCAGTCGTCTCCCCGGGGCCCTCTACAGGCGAGGCTCCAGCCTCAGTCGTCTCCCCGGGGCCCTCTACAGGCGAGGCTCCAGCCTCAGTCGTCTCCCCGGGCCCTCTACAGCGGGGCTCCAGCCTCAGTCGTCTCCCCGGGGCCCTCTACAGGCGAGGCTCCAGCCTCAGTCGTCTCCCCGGGGCCCTCTACAGGCGAGGCTCCAGCCTCAGTCGTCTCCCCGGGGCCCATTACAGGCGACGGGGCCCTCTACAGGCGAGGCTCCAGCCTCAGTCGTCTCCCCGGGGCCCTCTACAGGCGGGGCTCCAGCCTCAGTCGTCTCCCCGGGGCCCTCTACAGGCGAGGCTCCAGCCTCAGTCGTCTCCCCGGGGCCCTCTGCAGGCGGGGCTCCAGCCTCAGTCGTCTCCCTGGGCCGTCTACAGGCGGGGCCACCGGGCTCCCGGCGTCAGCCGTCTCCCCGGGCCCTCTGCAGGCGGGGCCACCGGGCTCCCGGCCTCTGCCATCTCCCGGGCCCTCTGCTGGGGGGCCACCGGGCTCCCGGTCTCTGCCACCTCCCCGGGCCGTCTACAGGCGGGGCCACCGGGCTCCCGGCGTCAGCCGTCTCCCCGGGCCGTCTACAGGCGGGGCCACCGGGCTCCCGGCGTCAGCCGTCTCCCCGGGCCGTCTACAGGCGGGGCCACCGGGCTCCCGGCGTCAGCCGTCTCCCCGGGCCGTCTACAGGCGGGGCCACCGGGCTCCCGGCCTCTGCCATCTCCTCGGGCCCTCTGCTGGGGGGGGGGGGGGAGGGGCACCGGGCTCCCGGCCCCCGCCAGCTCCCCGGGCCCTCTGCTGGGGGCTACCGGGCTCCCGGTCTCTGCCATCTCCCCGGGCCCTCTACTGGCGGGGCCACCAGGCTCCCGACCTTTGCTGTTTCCCCGGATCCTCTGCTGGCGGGGCCACTGGGCCCCCAGCCTCGGCCGTTTCCCCGGGCCCTCTACAAGCGGGGACTCGGCTCCCCGAGCTCCCGGACACAGCGGGCAGCACGGCTGTCGGGGGCGTGCGCGCCGACCACCAGGCGCGCGTGACCATGTTTTGTTACAACGTAATACACGTGTATTGGAAAGGCCGGCGTTTATTTGAGGCGGAAAGTCCGAAAGGCACGGAACAGGCGGAAACAGCGGGCGGGTGGTTGATGCGCTATCCGCTGGCCACGACAACCTCGTCTCGCCACACACACCACCGGCCACACTACAAAATACAGGCGCTGCGGATCCAGTACACTCCAAGGGACCTCAGCTCCAGCGGAGGTACCACTCCAGAAAAAGTACGGACCGCGAGGTCGACAGCAGACATGCCACATGACACTCGCGGAGCGCAACACGATAGCAAGTGTGGAATCCATGGGTCGGCCGGTGTGCGACGGCGCGGAATGCACGATCTATGCGGTTAGTCGTATAATATCTACGTGGAGAATGCGGCAAAACTGCCGCCGTCTGAGCGTACCGCAACCCAAGTTCCAGAAGCTCATGCGCAGACTGCGGCTGGGCCCGGCGACTGCCGTCACCGCCTGAAAAACCGGGTATAAAATAAAGCAGCGCACGTGGCGGCGGCCGGCTCTGGCTTTGTACAGGTGATCCACAGCCGGCTGCCAGCTGCCGGGCTCGGTGGCCCCGGGCCGCTCGGGGCCCGGGACGACTGCTGCTGGCTTATTGCTTCCATTGCCGTAATCTCGCTGGTTCGGCGGCGGCCTGTGCGGCCGGCACCACTGGTGGCGCTCGCGACGCACGCGCAGCTGCAGAGCGGCGCCGTTCGGACAGCACTGGCCCAGCACGGGCCGCGCGCCCGCGCCCCGACCTGCTCGGGCGGGGCGCGCGCCACGACCCTCGGAGTCCACACGCGGCGCACCGGCACAGCGCGGCGCGAAGGCAGCATACCCGGGACGCGACCTAATGACTACGTTGGTGGATACAGCACCTCCGTGACGGAAACATCCGAACACCGGCATCGACGAGCGAGCGCCGCGGACACTCCACAGAACTTACACGATCAGACCCATTTAAACAGGGGCGCGCCGTGCGAAGGCACGAATCACCAGACACGATTGCAATCCAGGAAAAGGCAAATTATGTCCCGCACGCTACACACGCGTCAGTTCATGTCCGCGATTGCCGTCAATTATGCGCAGGGTCAAGACCCCGATGGAAAACAAGTGTACGATGGTCTAAGCACCGGTGGAATACAACGCCTGGGTAATGACGTACGCCAATTCAAGCATACCTCAAAGTCAGCACGCACGCATCCACCTTTTAAAAAAGTCTACACTACGCACGCAGCTAAGCACCGCTAGCGCACCCCGGCATGCTGCCTCAGACTCAGCACCGCGCAAAGCAGGCGCCCGCTCCCGGTCCTGCACCGCTCCGAGGCTCCCTTGGTCCCGATCCCGGGCGGCGCACGCCGGTCGCTCCGGCGCCGCCCGTCCCCGGTGCGCACAAAATAGGTCTGCCGCGCCTGCTGCCGTCCGGGACCGCGGCCGCGCCGCCAGCCCCGTCAGAAGCCGGCCGCCTAGCCGCAGATGCTGCCGAGCAGCACCCAGAACAGGCCTGGCTCGGCCAGACTGCGCTCCAGCGGCTCCGGCTCGTCGTCGTCCTCGTCGTGGCGGCGGCGGCGCCACCAGCGCGCGCGGCGCGGCTGGGCGCTGGCCGGCAGCACGGCCGAGCCGGCGCGCTCGGGCGCCGTCAGCAACGGCTCCGCCTCGCACTCGATCCGGTTGAGGGACGACTGGCTCAGCTGCTTGCGCGGCGAGGGCGTGGCGCGGCGCACGGTGGCGTAGTCGGGCGAGTCCGAGCGGCCCGACGACTCGGCTGCAACGGGCGGCGGGGTCAGCGCTCGCCGGGCCGGGGAGGTCCGGGGCGGGCCGGCCGCGACACCACCGCACGCGCGGCCGTCAGAAACACGGAGCAGCAGGGCAACACTATCGGCAGCCGCACAAACGTCACTCCACAGGCCACCCTCGGAACGTCGAAGTGCCCCGGGAACAATGCGAGGTAAAGGCTTAGTGGTATGCGCCAGTGAAATGTCGCCAACATTCGGATCGGAACGCGCTAAAATCATTCCTCACCGGTCTGAAGCAGCTGCAACGAGTCAGCCAATGTTCTCATGCAGCGACCCGGTTCACGGCCAGCCTAACGGTGCCCCGCTCCGCCGCCAAGACCCCGTCCTCCCCCCCCCCCCCCCCCCGCCCCCCGAGCTCCCGTCTAAGCTGCCACCCACCGTCGGCGAAGCGGAGGCTGTCGATGCTGCAGCAGAGCGGCTGGAACTCATCGTCGCCGTCGCCGGGCGGCTCCGGGCAGTCGGCGTCGGCCGGCTCGCCGTCGGCCGAGAGCAGCACCTCGGCGTGCACCAGCTGGTGGGTACGCAGCGGGTCGGCCGGCGCCACGCTCGAAGCCACGCTGACGGTGCGCGCCGCGGCCGGCGGCGCCACCTCCGGCAGGAAGTCGCGCCGGTACGACTCGGCGAAGTCCAGGATCTGCTCACAGCGCTTGCGGGCGCGCCAACGGATCTCCTCCGGCTCGCTCTCGTCTGTCGGGTCAGATCAGGTCAGCAGGGGTTCTCGTCGGCCTCACCAGCCGTGCTGGGGTCGGGCCAGGGGACTAGTCGCACCAGCGAATGGTGGACAAGGTGGCTCGTACAGGGCACTGAACGCAGTCGCGTATATTCGAACATTTTTTATTATCACACCCTAGCAACTATGCCTCCTGAGACATTTACTGGCAACATTTCAAGCTATCACCTTCTTAAACCTGTTCCTGGTAACATTCTTATAACAGTAACATCGGCACAAAACTATCGTTAAATGATGCAAAACAGACACACCAATAGGCTTAACACCACCTAAAGCCCAGGAGAACAGGCGACGAAATATCCCGTCACGTGACCTGGGCCCTGAGCACAGCACAGCCGGCCGCCGGGCGCCTGTCCGTGTTGTCAGCCGAAGTGAGTCGAGCCGCGCAGTCCGGCCCGATACGGCGCGGCCGCCGCCCGGCTCGCTCCGGTCACGGCGGCGGCGCGTGCCTCCGGACCGCACGCCCGTGTACAGCCAACGCCCACTATCAGTCAGGCGAGGCGCCGCCGCCCGCCGGTATCCCGCCCCGGGACACGCAACTGAGACCACCGGACGGTCCGCACAACTCCCGCACCATTCTGAGAGTTTGTCCGCCCGACAGAGAGAGAGAGAGAGCTGCGGGTCTGTAACGATCGGATGCCTGCACTCAGCCGGGCGGCGAGATGTGCCCGGCCGGCGATACGACACCCACCGCGGATGATCTGCAGCAGCTGCTCCACCTGCTCCGCGCAGGCGTCCAGGAACTGGCGGCGCGACTGCTGCTGGTGTTTGCGCGGCTCGTAGATGGTGGCGTACTGGGACTCGTCTGCGGACGGCGGGCGGCGTCAGGGTGGCGCGGCGGCCAGCGTCCGTCAGCACGGTCGCCATCAGCAGCGGCGCAGCCCACACATCACAGCTGGAGCCGCGCACAAACAGCCCGCCCATAAGAACCGTACCGCCGGCAGCCCGATGATGATCGATGTTTACGGTCAGCGCCGAGCGCGACAACCAGCATCTGGGACACGTCCTTATGGCGGCAGACATCTATTACGGGGCAAGTTACATCTCTCAAAGCTACAACAGGGCGCATGCGTTACGGGGCCATTGCTCTCGCATTCGACGCACTTCACCTGAAACACGTAGATCGCTGACGATTGAGCCGATAACCAAAGCACACACGCAGCACGAGCAAACGCCACGGGCAGGCACGCTACGGCAAACACGGCGCACAAACACCGCGCGCGCGATTAAGAGCGCGCGCCGGCCCACATGTCGGCGGGTCGGGACCACACAGGAGGCGGCCGGGCCAGGCGAGCCCCGCCGCGACGTCACCGGCCGACACTGGGCCGGGCCGCACAGTGGCCGCGCCGCGCCGCCGCCGGCCGGTTGGTCGGGCCCTCTGCAGCGTGGGTGACCCTCGGCGGCCGGCCGCGTTACCGGACATGCGTCTCAATCGCGCTACAAACGCGCCTCCAAGGCTGAATCCCTGCTGACAACAGGCGCAGAACGAGCCGGGCGAGGCGCCGGCCGACCGTTAACAGCGTGCACGTGCCGGCCGGCCGCCTGGCCGGCGGGCCGCGCAGCGGATCGGCGCCGCCGCTTAACGGATCGGGCATGGACGACTGCCAGCGAAAGTAGAGGGGGTCCCCGCCAGGTTGAGCGAAGTCTGCAGGTTCGTGAGAGACGGACCGAAAACCATCGTTCCAAAGCTGTCCCCTGTTCCTGTCACCTGCTCACGGACCGACGACCGCACTCGTCCCGGCTGTTCTCTAACCTACTGGGGAACGCCACCGCAGCGGGGCGACTGGCCCGACCGCGTCAGCAGAGCTGTGTCACGACCCGGGCCGGCCGCTGAGCTCCCTGCCGAGGGGGCAGCACAGCACGCGCCAGAGCCGGCTCGGGCGTGGCCGCTGTCAGCACCGAGTCGGCGTGACGCCCGGCCGCCCCAGGCCTGGAGACGGTCGCGGGTCGGCCCCCTGCGGTCGGCGCACGGAAGCTGCGGGCAGATAGTGGCCTGTACCGGCAGGGGCGGAAGGAAAGGCGGCACCCCCGGGACGCATCGCCGGCTTATTATAGCCGCCACGCGTGCGTGTGTCATTGGGGTTTTACGACACACTCAGCTGCTGAGACTATATGGCGTCGCCTGCCTCTCACCCTGGCAGGAAGGACGGGCACCGCGGCAATTGAATCCCGTTCCTCTGGTTTCCCACAAGCGCAGTGGTTAACGCAGGGGCGTTACCCACTACCCTACCGGCACCCGCCACGCGTCACGCCACAGCACGTCACGGGGCTATCACATCCCCGTGACGCGGGACGCCCCGGCGACGTCGCGTGCGGTCCGCCGGCGGCTGACGCAGCGTGCGACGCTCCCCGGAGGCTCCCCGCTGACGCAGCGTGCGATGCTCCCCGGAGGCTCCCCGCTAACGCAGCGTGCGATGCTCCCCGGAGGCTCCCCGCTAACGCAGCGTGCGATGCTCCCCGGAGGCTCCCCGCTGACGCAGCGTGCGATGCTCCCCGGAGGCTGACGCAGCGTGCGATGCTCCCCGGAGGTTGACCAGACAGCGTGCGATGCTCCCCGGAGGCTGACGCAGCGTGCGATGCTCCCCGGAGGTTGACGCAGACGCAGCGTGCTGCTCCCCGGAGGCTCCCCGCTGACGCAGCGTGCGATGCTCCCCGGAGGCTGACGCAGCGTGCGATGCTCCCCGCCCAGCCTCCGACGTCAGCCGGCATGGCAGAGGTCGCCGATAGCCGCACTTCCCGCCTCTGTTCCGCTATCGCGCGCCGCCATCGCCGGCTGTCGTTAGGCGTGAGCCCAGGCGATAGCGGCACTCTAACCCTGTCGTCAGGCGCGAACGGTCCACCACGTGTCGATGGCCCCACCTGGACCCGGTCGCACCGAGCGGCCGCCGGCCCGTGCTGGCAACTGCACCCGGGACTAGATTAAATCCACTTAGGATAGCGTGCGCTTCGTATGAAATATGTACCCCAACAAGTGTGCAAACGCTTGTTGGGGTACATGTTATATGTAAAGCGCGCAAACGGGCGTGCAAACGCTTGTTCGGGCAACGTACTCTACTTATCCATAAATGGTTCATGAATTCAGCATACGCCATGCATCAAACTAGTTGATATTGTACATGATCATGATATTGATTTTCCTGGCATTCGTCTCATATTACGTGTCACAACCAATTTGCAACTGAGCACCCAGCCTCCGAATCGATGTCGCGAAGCCCCAGGCCAGCGGTCGGCCTGTCCCTGTCGCAGTGGGGGTGCCGGCCGGGTCCGCGCGGACCGTCCGGGGGTCCGCGCGGACCCTACAGGCGGCCGGCTCCACTATCAGCCAGCCACAATAACACTGTCGCAGCGAGAGATGAGATGCCCTTGGGCCGTTTGCAGGCGCCTGATGAAGACTGAGGAGCCGAGCGGTCGCCATAAATCACCAGCCGGCCGCCGGTAATCGAGACAACGGTATCAGGGCCGGCCGGGTCGTGACGTCGCGGACGGTTCAAAGGGTCGGGCGGCGTCCGACGGAAGGCCACCGGCGCAGAAGGGCCATAAGTCCATCTCAGTCCTCGGTCGCGCCAGCCCCCCCCCCCCCTCCCTCCGCAGGTGGAGGGGGCCTCGGTCGGTCGTCCCCGGCCGCCGCCGGCCGGCCGTCACCGCTCCTGATCACACATCACGCGAGCCGCTGCGGCCGGGCCGCGAGGACCACACGGCTCCGGCGCCGCCACGTCCCAGCCACCGGGCCACCAAGGCTGCTGCGGACAGCCTCTGCGCAGCAGCGCTCCATGACGCATTTGTTCAGCTCTCCGCGTTGACTTACACCGCGTCGGTGCACCCACCGTCAAATGCGATCCCCAAAAAGCCGCCCAGGAATGCACGTTGCCCCGGTGTGAAGCCCAGCCGGGAGCGGTCGTGAGCAGGCGCGCGAGACTCGCGCTTCGCCGCGCCAGCGCGGCGCTGCTGACAGCGGCCGCAGTGGGGCGCGCTGGGCCGGTCCGGCCCGGTGGCGGTCCGGTTCACACCGCGGACACCGGCGCTCCGTGCACCGGGCCGGCCACTATCTCCCCATCGGCGGCGGCGCCGAGCCGTGGCGGTTTGCGGCCGATCGTGCCGTGGCGCGGCCCGAGCGCGGCGCCGCCAGCCCGGCGTCGAGCCGGCCGACAGGTCGTGACAGCCGACTGCCCCGCTTCGGCGCGCCCGCGGACAGGTGCTGACCGGCGACAGGTGGCCACGGACTGGGAGCCCCCGCCGGGCCAGCAGCGGACCCTCACCTGGCGCCGAGTCGGTGGACAGGTTGTGGCTGTTGATCAGGTCGTAGCCGGTCTCGACGCCGCTGTCGGAGGAGGCCTGACGTCTCGGTGGCGTCACCATCCGTGGCGCCCAGGACTGCCGCCGCCGTCCGAGCTGGGCGACCGGCTGCGCGACAGGAACTTCTTCAGCGTGCTGGAGCGGGACGCGTAGGCGTCCATCTTGGCCAGCATGCAGTCCCGCACCACCTGACTCTTCTCTGCGGGGCGGACGGGGATGACGTCAGCGCTTAGTCCCATACGCCGCACGTGGTCACGGACACGGGCGTAACATGCTTCCACCAGGCACGTGGCACACAGCCCAACACGTTTAACAACAGAGCTTAAACGAGCCGCCGGCGGAAACGTGGAGCACTGATGTGTTGCCACCGGTCTAAACAATGGAGGAATCAAAAACAAACACTGTCAATGTCGGCTGGAAGAACCTCGTTCACAACGCCGAAATTGGTTCATAATAGCACAATACAAACGGACGTGATGGCGACGATACAAATTGTGGACTCGTTGGGGTACTTTCGTAAGATTGTGGGCGCGAATTGTGAACGCCTAATAATGCTTTTGACGGGTGGGGCACAGGCCATCTTCGTTCCAAGCTTGTCGCTTCTCATCGAAATCAGAACTTCTTAAGAGCACGTCGCAGTTGCTGAACGATCCCAACCACCGGAGTGCAATCTATGCAGATAGGACCTTGCCTCTGGCGAGCCTAACGACGTCTATTTCACTGGGATACATTTACATTTTTCGTAGATATAGCGATCTTTGAACTCGGCACCCCACTTGCGGTGGAGGCGGCCCGTCGCAGCCACACAACGGCCCCACGCGGCGCGCTGCGAACGGCGCCCTCCATCTGTCAGCAGGGCTGACGGCCGGCCCGTATCAGACGGCCGCCACCCACGGCTGAGCTGCGACGCCGGCCGGCCCCACACATTCCGGTCACGAGCGTGCGCGCGCGCGCGCGCCGGCGCCGGTCCCGCGCTCCATCTCGCCCAGTGGTTATGTCAGCTCCGGGTGCAACCTCTGCCGCAGCTGCTGCCGCCAGCATGACTGATCACCGCCGCCGCCTGAGCGACGCCGACAGATGGCTTCGTCAGGCCACGCAATAGCAGGCAAACAGTGAGCGAGCCACGCAGCGGGATGGAGTGAGGCGGCGGCAGCGCGATGTCGCAGAGGTGACCCTTCGCCGCCTGCCGCGCCGGAGCTTGGTCAACAGCGGGCGCGGGGCGCGGCGGCGCCGGACCCACCTTGGCCGACGACAGCGTCGAAGTCACGCAGCGCAGAGTCGTACAGAGTCACGGCGTCTTCGTACATGCCCTCGAGGTCCTGCTCCGTGGCGCGCGTCACCGTTCCGATGGCCCTCTGCAACAGAACGCCGCGCCCGGTCAGGCACAGTCCGGAGGCGGCGGCCACTTACGAGTCAGGGGCAGCCTGGACCGGCTGAAGAAGGTATGGGACGAGGCCCCGCCACCGTCCCGCTGCGGACCCGTGCATGAGGTGGACAATCTGGGCCTGACATCAGAAGCACGCTAAGCCGACGCGAGCACATCATGATTGAAACCAACATGCTGACACACGGGAGTAAGCACAACAGGCCTACGGTAATCCGGCCATCCATTCGGGTGCTTACGCCGCGCGAAACCTGGGTTAACAAAGAAAACAACGGCTGGGCAGCGTGGCAGCTGATGCTGAGAGGCGACACTGCAGCTCCAAATAAGCAGGGGACCGGTCCGAGCGGCCCACCGCTTAGGAGCCGACCGGGGCGGGTGACGGCCGCCGGGCTGACAGCCGCGCGCCGCACAGGGCGGCACAGGGAGCTACGCGGCACCAGGCCGAGAGCGTAGACGTGCAGGAGGACGATGAGGGGTTTGATGGCCCAGCACGGGTCAGCTAGCTACGAAGTGATAAACAGATGCGAAAATTATGGAAGGAGGAGAGTGCAGGTGGAATATATACACGCCATATGGCATGGGAAAGCCATTCGACGGCTGCCACGTCACCCGAACACATCGGGCAACTTTACTACAGTGACGACATTGACACGACCACGCCACACAAGCCATATCTATCACGGATCGGACCAGTCTAGCCCATCGGATAGGACACGCTGAGTTGTGTTCGCGTGCTGTGAGTCCTACAGCACGTTTAGCAAGTCAGCAAACCGGCTGGTAGATTTCCTAAGACCTGGCGTACCGATTAGCTCGGAGTGACAGCTGATCACGTTTGTTGGTGTAAACTGACGGCGAATCTGGAAACCGAGTCTGGCACCAGACGTCACCAGTAAGACATCAGCCCTCGGTCGGGCACCAGTGTGTGGCAAAAATAGAATGCAAGATTCAATTTTGCGTGCATCTCAGACCGTTCACCCATACTCCAGCCCCGCAACACCAGCATAAGGTTCGTCGACACCTTGTCAGCCGCAGCCAGCTTGGACTCGAGCATAATAACATCGCCAACCAAAACCAGCCTCCAACAGCCAGCGCATGTGTCACCAATGAACGCGACAAACGACAGCCGCTGCAGAGCGCATTTCCAGCCTCCATTAAGGCGCGACAGCTCACGGCGGCGCCGGCCATTATTCTGTGCATCGCGTCCAGTGCGACGCACGTCTCAAGGTGCCCCTCGCCCACTCCCTCTCCCCCCATCCCACCCCGCCCTCTCTTGGCCGAGTGACTCGCCGCTGTGTACAGCGCTACACAAAGGCCAGCACCGTCAGCAGCCGTCAGAAGAACGGCACCGGTCCGCGTCCGGGCGGCGGCGCCGGTCGAGGCGAGGCAGCCGACAAAAAGTCACCCTCTAACCGGCGCACGGGGACAGGCCGACCGCCAGCCGAGCCAGGCGGGCGGGGAGGGCCGCCAACGACACGGCCGCCGGCGGACGTCTTTGAGACGCGCCGCAGCACGGGATGCGACAGTCGAACAGAACGAGCGTGGACGGAGGTGTGGGAGTGTACCCTACCCTCATCTCAAGTGTTGCAGACTCGCTTCGACAATGTCACGTGCGATATCATGGTCTGTCAACGTCGTGCTCCTGATCGCAAGGTACAGGTAACGAGTATCACCATTGCTTTTCGCGGAGCCGTGCCGAAGGCCACCAACAACGTCGCACGACAACGCCACTCGTTCCTAAGGCCGCCCCAGAGCCGCCACCTGGCAACCTGGTCCAAGTCCCGGGCTGCCGACTGGACAGCGTACGTCGTACACCGCACAGCACGCCAGTAATGGGCTTCCGCGCTGCCCTGACGCGGCTGTCAGGGCTGACGCGGCTGTTGCCTCTGAGTTATGCACGCGCGCACACGTAATCGCGGTGGCGCATCCCACGCAGATAACGGGCATCGGGCCTGGAATGCGGGCGGGGATAGCTGTATGGGGCATGCCTAGACCAGCAGCTGGCGGTCCTCTTCGGCCGTCGGTTAAATGGACGGGTATTAGACGGCTATTTATCGGTAGCTATTTAAAATCCCGCAGCAACTTCCGGCAGTAGCCGCACATCCGCTGCTGGCGGTGGGTCGGCAACGGATACATATTTTTTACTGGCACGGAGCCAGCAGCGGCAGCCTCGTCGCACGGAGTTCACCGGGGCACGCGCGCCACCGCAGACAGGTACGTGGACGGAGGTGGATGGCCGCCGCCTGTTTCGCGCCGCCGTCGCTGGGCGGCGCTGGCGGCGGGCCGGAGCCGGTTCCCGGTGCGCGGCTCCACCCCGCCGTGACGTCACAAAGCGGCTCTGTCCGGACGGCGGCGGCTCGCCACCCGCTCTGCCGCCAGCTTTCGCCGTCCTGCCACAGCGCAGCGGCCGCAGCGGCCGCCCTGCCATAGCGCAGCGGCCGCCGCCGCCGCCCTGTGCGGCACGGCGGCGGCCGGCGGCGGCCGGCCCGACAGCACTACGTGCCGCACTAACCCGCACTCTGGTCCGGTTCCGCTCGCGCGGCAGACGTGGTGGCATTTCGGGCAGACTGAATCAGAAGCAGTACTAATTACAGCTAACGCGTTCGCTCCTTAAGTGGTACACAAACAATAGCCCGTGTGGGCAAACGACCTAGCCTACGCATTCCGAAGACAATGGTCCGAACGGTGCTGATAACGCCTTTTGTCGCGCTATTAATAGCCAGTTTGACGACGAGAAGCAAATTGGTTTCGTGGAAGCGTGTCTCGAACACACCATGCCGAAAATTACAGCTACAAACTACCATCCAATTACGCAAGCTGCTGAAAAAAACATCAATCTGAGCTGCTCCGAATCTGACGTGAGCTGCTCCAACGCCTGAAAGTGTGTAATCCGACTGCATTGCCCATATGCACGGAAAGAAATCGCATTATGATGAGCCACGCACGGGGTGTAAAGGCGCGGCGTTAATCGCAGCGCATTGTTACAGGAGCCCCGGCAGCAGGCCAATACGGCAGCGCCGAGCCGTGCTAATCCTCACGTCGCTCGCGCTCAGAGCTCAAGTGGCCGTTTCGAGGCGGAGCCGCGGCGGACTGGGGGGCGGAGGCTGTCCGCGCCCGCTCACGCAGCACCCCTCCTCCCGAAGGTCGCGGGTTCCATTCTCGGTGGGCGGGCTCTTCCGGCTCTCAGTCCAGGGACGCGGAGGTAATAAGGCAAGACGAGGAGGGGGAGGGGGGAGGGCGAGGGGGAGGGGGAGGTTGGCAGCCAACCACAGAGGGGAAACCCTTCAGCTAGTCATATGCAGACGAGGAAAGCCGTCACCACAGCACAAGCTGCGGGGGAAACCCTACGCGAGAAATAGCCTGCTGGAATATCGCATGTCACGGGAAGAAGCGGTGCAACCGTCACTGCATTCAGGGTCAGGAACAACAACGGCGTCTGAGGGCAAGCTCATCGCATAGAAATGGGTGGCGAAAATCCCTCCCCAGGTGGGAGCGGTTGTTTTAGAGGCCTCCATACGAACCGTTGCATAGTCATGAACAGCTGCACCCTGCCGCTACCCAACCAACTGTATCATTTCAGCATGTTAGTTTTAACTTATGACAGCGTGCAGGAAGGCTCACAAACTAACTCTTGTACAACAGTAATCGCAAGACAACATTGCAAGGAGCTGAAAAAGAAGCAAAAAAGAAACACGAAGCACAAGAAGCGAAGAAGGCCTGACCATGACTAAAACAAGTGCAAACAGCAACGTAGTGGACTATTTCTGGATATGTTTATCCGACATGGTGGGAACGTCTCGCCCGTACCCGTAATTCATCCCAGATCTGTACCCAGTCCAGCCCGTTACCCACTCCACCAGGATGTCAGTGGTCGACATGGGTATCAACCCCAGCGGTGAGCGAACTCGGAGCCTGCCGCTGGGCGAGGCCCGAGAGCCCGGTGATTTCCGCCGCATTCCGCCCGCCCTGTGAGCCCCGCCACGTCAGCAGAGGCCATCCTCGGGTGACACTGGCTGCACTCCCTCGAAGCGCCCCGCTCCAGGGAGAGCGCGTCACAGGCGCGGAGTTCCCGCGGCCAGCCGACATCGGTAGCAGACCCGGACCGGCCTGACCAGGGGAGCCCCGCACCAGAGACGGCCCCCTGACGCCGGTCTGGGGCAGGTCGGCACGACGCCCGCCGCTGTCCTGACCGAGACGGCGCCCGCCGCTGGCCTGACCGGTACAGCGTCCGCCGCCTGTCCTGACCCGGACGGCACCCGCCGCTGTCCTGACCGGCACGGCGCCCGCCGCAGCCTCGGGGCCGGCGCAGTGGAGCTCAGCTGCACCGATGCATGCGTCAACACGGCCCATGCTGTGTCCTGTTTACGGCCGACCGGCCGGCCTGGCCTCCGTCACCACCGCGCCCGTTCTCAGAAGCGCGGTCAGCGCCGGCCGCTGCCCACACGGCGCCAGCCGCCGATGCGACGCCCGCGCCGCTGCCCCCCCCCCCCCCCGCAGGGAGTCGTGACCGGCGACGGCAGCGCCCACGGTCAGGCAGAGTCGTCCGCGCCGTCGCTGTCTCTGAGCCGGCGCCGCGCTGGTCACAACAGCGTCTTTGTGGAGGTCAATCTACACATCACTACGCATACACACATACATACTGGTTCCGATCGGAAGCAGCCAGTCATGTCACCTCCAACGTGACGCTTCTCAGTATCTTATCCGACCGCCGACTGCCGTGGCGTCTGCTGCGCTGCACGGGCCGGCTGCAGCTGCTCTGCACGTGTCGAACGAGTCATGCTTCAGTCCCGATACCCGGTGCGCCTCAGTGCATCGATTCGGAGACCACCCACTCGCTGATCACAATGAACTCATGGACTGAGGCCGGTCCATCCCACACTGGTTAAGTCATGGTTCGCGATCAGTCTCAATAAGCGACGCTCCCGATTACCAACGCGTGAAGAGTACGTGCGGATCCAGCTATGATCAGACGGA